AAGTCCTTTTGTCTCAAATGGCACCTGGATGCTGGAAAATGAAGATAAGTATTCCCTGATCTTCAAATTTATTGGTTCTTTTGTTGCTGCTTCTCATTTGCTCATCTGTTTAAAGTTGATGATAGGCATGCCATCTTAGCCTTGGCTCAGCAGTTTTCTGTTTCCTCCTCTGCTGTGGGCCCTGTGTTTAAAAGAGCGGCCTGTCAGAGCATGGTGATTGATAATAAGAGCTGAGGGTTAAACAGTAGTCACTCTGCCCCCCCCCCCACTGCTCTTAGGCCTTTCCACACACTAGCGTGTTTAATCCTGCGAGGTGAGTCTTGGTGTTATCGCCATTTTAAAGGTGAGGAAACTGACACCAAGTTACACAAAAATAAAAGCTAACTTCATTTATGCTTACTGTTTATTAGGTACTATGCTGAGGGCTTTATCTATATTATCCACAAAACTGTTAGCAATTTGGTAAGATATGGAGTATTATTGTCATTTTCACTACTGGTACCAGAAATGAGGGTATGCATTGGAGACCATCTTCCTTGAGAATTAGTGCTATAGTCAGCTTATCATGCAAAATTATTGTCAAATTTCCCTTGAAAATCCCTTACATTGTCTACAGTGGCAGTTTGCAGACACAGAGACCCTCTATAAATCCAACTGGGCTGTTCTTGGCCCACTAGAGTTGGAATAGAATTCAAGCATCAGTGACTACAGGCCCATGAGCCAACTCCTGTTTTTGTAAATAAAGTTTTATTAGAACATATCCATACCCATCCATTTATCAGTTTTCTGTGGCTACTTTGGAGCTACAAATGCGGAAGTGAGTAGTTGCAACATAGACCAACTGACCCACAGAACCTAAAATATTTACTATATGGCCCTTTAAGAAAAAGTTTGCTGACCCTGGGAATAAATCAGCGTTTCTTTAGGTGAATTAACAGTGAAGAATTGGCTTGCTTTTGGGACATTTTACAAAAATACACGAGGACCATGTGATACATTCTTGGCCTAAGAGGCCATGTAGGGCCTGAGAGCATCCAAGGATGTGGCATGTTCCCTGAATCACAGTTCTTCTCAGGTGACTCCACTGAGTTTTAAAAGTTCACTTTGTGGTGTGCTTTGTTTTTTAAAAAGCAATGTTTTATGTTAATAATGAGGAATATCCTAGTACATTGTCCTATCTTGATGCTTTAATTTTTTTATGTCCTTGAAAAACAGATCAACTTTCATCTCATATTAAGTTTTTAAAATTACTTACTGCTTGGATAATTTCTGATAGGGTTTCTTCTTTAATATCATAAACAGTAACCAGACTCAGCTATATTTGAATTATTTATTTAAAATACACTAAGTATAAATTAAGATTTCACAGATATCTGTCATTTCTGAAAATTCACACAACATATCATTTCATCAGATGTTAGTATTGTTTTTCACTCCAAAAGATTGTATACTTAAAATGTTTGCCTTTTTCAAATCGATATTTATAAAACCATCATAGTTTTCAATATTTTAGTTTTACAGTGGTGGTAAAATTATTTTATATACTTTATTTTTAATCTTAATGATTAGTTTCCTAAAACTAAATTTTGGTCATAAACAACAATCTTTCCTTTGTCATGAACATTTCATAAATGAGAGTATTAAAATCTTTCCAGGCTTTAATATGTAGTACACTTGAGGGACTTCCCTGGTGGTCCAGTGGCTAAGACTCCGTGCTCCCAATGCAGGGGACCCGGGTTCGATCTCTGGTCCAGGAACTGGATCCCACGTGCATGCCGCAACTAAGAGTCCACATGCCACAACTAAGATCCTGCATGCTGCAACTAAGACCCAGTGCAGCCAAAATAAATGAATAAATATTTTAAAAATATGTAGTACCCTTTAAACAATATCCAAAATAGACTGTTGTTTCCATCTTTAAGGAGGAAAAATATCAGTGTTGTTCACCTCCCAGATATTTAAACATAAAAATTATACTTTAAGAATTTAGGGGCTTCCCTGCTGTGGTTGAGAATCCGCCTGCCAATGCAGGGGACACGGGTTTGAGCCCTGGTCCGGGAAGATCCCACATGCCGTGGAGCAGCTAGGCCTGTGAGCCACAACTACTGAGCCTGCGCATCTGGAGCCTGTGCTCCGCAACAAGAGAGGCCGCGATAGTGAGAGGCCTGCACACCGTGATGAAGAGTGGCCCCCACTTGCCGCAACTAGAGGAAGCCCTTGTACCGAAATGAAGACCCAACACAGCCAAAAATATATAAATAAATAAATTTTAAAAAATAAAGAATTTAGATTCCCCAAATTTTCTTAGTTAAGAAATAACTATATACATATTATATGTAATATTTATATCTAGAAATAAATATAATTACTGTTTTTAAAATAGTATACAGTTTTTAAAAACAGTAAACATATTTCCTGTCATCTAGAGTGGAAATGACATCAGTCTACGTAAATTCTATTTTCTCTTCCCTGTTGTGGTGGTAAATAGTTGTCTCTGCAGTGAAAGTTGCTCGATACACCACATTCACACACCTCATCCAAAGGGCCTGTCTTTTTGATTGTTTCATTTTTTCCTGTTAGAAAACTAGAATAATGTAATATTGAACATGGATTTACAGTCATGTGCGAACTTAACACTTAGCTTATTTACATGTGAAATAGTTGGAATAAAAAACATTCTTGCATTTTGTGAAAATCTTGGGGTGTTTTGGTAATTTTTTGGTACTGGCTGCCAGAATGTTCACATATCTAAATAAATAATCAGCCTCTGACAGCTCTGGGGCCTTTCACTTGAAAGGTCTCCAAGGCTACCTTGAAAATAAAAGGCACCCTCCACATTTGACCTTCTTCTCTAGATTTGAAAGCATTTATTATCATTAGCAGAAATAAATGACTGATTCACAAATGAACTTGTGATGACCAGTAACATTCTGAAAAAAGTGGAAGTCAGACATTCTGGTTTCGAATCATCACAACTCTCCCTTCCTTGTACTGTAGAATCCCAGAGAACTTCTTAAACTTTCTGTGCCTGGTTTTAGTTGTAAAATGGCACCTACCTCATAGTTTACGAGGACAAAAGGAGATAAAGTACCTTTCACATACTCAATTTATAAAAACCCATCTTTAAAAATGGCTTTCAATTATTCAGCTTACTTAATAAATTGAACGTTTAGATTTTCTGTCTTACTTGCCCTTCCTGGCCCCCTTGGAGTGCTTTCTTTTAATACCCACTGTATAGTTGTCTGTCAGCTCTTTCTATTACCTATGGCCTCAACTGTCAATTTAAAGAGCTTTGATTAATTTCTAATAAGGAGCTTTTGACTGAAAATATATTGTTTTACTGCTTCAGGTAACTTTTCTTTGAACAGGATGTCTTAACCTGGGGATCTACAGAGAGATTGTATTTCAGTGTAATTCATTTCCTTTGTAATTCTATGTATTTTATTTTATGCATTTTTTTAAGGTTTTTTTATTTTAAGTGCATTCTTTTTAAAAAAATTAATTTATATTTTGGCTGTGTTGGGTCTTTGTTGCTATACGTGAGCTTTCTCTAGTTGTGGCGAGCAGGGGCTACTCTTCGTTGTGGTGTGTGGGCTTCTCATTGCGGTGGCTTCTCTTGTTGCGGGACATGGGCTCTAGGCGTGCTGGCTTCAGTAGTTGTGGCACGTGGGCTCTAGAGCACAGGCTCAGTAGTTGTGGCGCACGGGCTTAGTTGCTCCATGGCATGTGGGATCTTCCTGGAGCAGGGGCTTGAACCCGTGTCCCCCTGCATTGGCAGGCAGATTCTTAACCACTGCGCCACCAGGGAAGTCCCTTTTTTTAAGGCTTTTATTTGTTTTTATTAAGTCAGTGCCCAATTTATACTATTTTATGCATTTAAAAGCGCTATCTCCACAGGCTTTACTTGACTATCAAAGAGGTTCGTGGTACTAAAAAATTAAAAAGTTACAAATCCCTGATGGAAGAAGTTCCATTTTAGTAGAATATGGTAAAGCCATGGTTGTTGGACTGCTGAGAGAAGTCATCTCTGTAAGATAACTCAGGGCTCTTGGATCCCACTAGAAATGACTCACCTATCAACAGGTAGGGCTGGTCCCCCCAACTTCAGAAAATTGAATAGTTCTCACCTTGGTTTTAGCTTCTTGACTTCTCCGTTTCTAGAACCTTTGCAGGAAAAAAAATAGCCACCGTTTTTCTAATATACAGAGAATCTTCTCTGATACAATCAGAGGCAGCCATGTATGGTGGAAGGGACATAAGTATTGAAATCACAATTGTTTAGTCTTTCCAAGTTGCTGATTCTTCATCTATGATGTGGAAATTATAATATGCACATTACTGTGTTGAGGAAGGATTAAAGGAAAAAACTATGGACAGGGACTTCCCTGGGCACAATGGTTAAGAATCCACCTGCCAATGCAGGGGACACGGGTTTGAGCCCGGGTCCGGGAAGATCCCACATGCCGTGGAGCAATTAAGCCCGTGTGCCACAGCTACTGAAGCCCACGCACCTAGAGCCCGTTCTCCACAATGAAGAGAAGCCCCCGCTTGCTGCAACTAGAGAAAGCCCGCATGCAGCAACGAAGACCCAACACAGCCAGAAAAAAACTATGGACAGCACACAGCACACAGTGTCTGGTGTGCTGTGGTTATTGCATGGGCGTTAGTTTCTTTACTTACACCGAGAATCCAAAATGAACATTAAGTGAATTTAGAGCTGAGTCAGGGTGGAGGGCTGTGGAGCGTGGTGGAATTGAGAAATGTGGTTACTTTTCTTTTTAGAATCAGGTTGAGTGGGGAAAATTTCCTGAAAGAGATAGACTCTTTGGCAGAAAGAAAAGTAGGCTGCAGAATTTAGTTGCAGAAATAGTGTGTGAGTAAAATACAGACCGGAGAGTAGGAAAATTGAATTTAAAGTCCAGGCTTTGTGGAGACGAATGAATAAAGGGGAGTGTACATGTCACTGAACTCATGCTTTTCCTTAAGTTATCTGTTTTCAGAGCAGTGGAATTTTTCATCAGAGATAAATATGAAAAGAAGAAATACTACGATAAAAATGCTATAGCTATTACAAATGTAAGTAAAATCTTCATCTCTATTGCCAACTGATGCTTGTTGAGTAGATCTGGAACTTTTAACATACGATACAAAGCTCTGTTTATTTATTGTGAAAATGTGCTAGTTACATACTTGAAAAATTTTATTTTATTTAAATTTATTTTATAAAAATTTATTTTATTTAAAATAAAAAGCTCTATTTATTGTGAAAATGTGCTAGTTACATACTTGAAAAATTTGAATATTGGAAGTTTTTGTCACATAATGTTAATGAGCTTTCACAAAGCAGGACCCTTGATTCAGAAAGGAGCATATTCTATGTAAGAGTCTGATAACTGCTTAAATGGCATTTAATTAATTTTATGAAATTTGCAAAAAGATAAAGTCACTAATTGAAAAATGGGGGAGAGATAATTATTTTTACTAGATTCGGGAAATGAACGAAAAAGGAAAATCCGTCTTCTTTTAAGGGCTTTGGTGGATCTGTCCAGATATAAGTTTATTAAAACATGGCATTTTAATTGGTTATTATCAAGTATTATCAAGTAATAGTTGAGACCTTACTGTAGTGATCCAAATATGTTATATCACTGATCCTTTTTAAGTTTTTCTTTCTGATTAAATTTTCCTATCCCAGTTAAATGCTGTTTAAGGCTAATTATCTTTAGTGCTGCAGTCATTTTTTAAGTCTTTGATTCCAAGATTAATAATAAAGCTATAAGCCAGTTAATTGTGTGGCTAATTCATCTGTCACGCAATTTAGAGACAATAATTTCCTCTCATTTTGCATATAAGCTGGTTTTCCTTTTCAGTCCATATGGAGAAGCAGTATACTAAAAAATTCAACCAAATACTAACAAAGTAAGGATATTGTAATGCATGGTCTCTGACCATTAAAAAAAATCTTTTAAAACAATGTTTCAAGTATGATTAATGTATATTTTGGAGCAAAGGTACCCTTGATAGAGTTTAGGCTGCATTTACAGTGGGTGTAGGAGAGGAAATCTCTTGAAAGATCAGTAAAAATTGACAATATTGAGAGTGATGCTTATCACATCCATGAAATTAAGTTTACTTACAGCATTGTGGGGGAAAAATGACAAACTTTAAAGCATAAGTAATATATTTTCATATGAAATTCTAAGAAATCATTTTAAAATACAGGGTGTGTAAACCAGGGGTGGGAATTTTGGTGGCCACCTTAGAATTCTTCCGCCACGGGGATGCAGAATGAGTCTGCCCTCCTTGGTATTCCTTAATGAATGAGTGATAGGGGACATTTGAAAAACTGAGTACAGAAATTGTCCTGTCTGTCCGCCCCTCACTCCCCGTAAGTAGTGGTGCAACACAGCTGGCAACACCGATCAGGTGAGTTCTTAGGAGATCTAGCAGGTGTTGAGCAGATGAGGTTGAGCTCTGCCATGTTGTTTGCCCTTTTCCAGCAGCAACTTTTCTCTGTTCCCCTCTCCCCCCTCGCTCTTCCTCTTCTCCCCTCTCCCCCGCCTCTTCTTTCCCTCCCCACCACCCCCTCGCTTCCCCCACCACACACTTCCATCCTCACGTGATTCATTTGCTATTATAATCATCAAAAAGAAAATCTGTTACACCAGGAAAATGTATAGGTAACCCTAACTATTTAATCCTTACCCCTGACTGGCTCAGTTTTGTCTTGGAAAAACAGCTAATAGTTGTTGGGAGTTGGTAGCTTTAAAATGAGCACTCACTTGTTCTTGTTTCAGTTTCTCTTACATATTTCTTGCCTCCTTTGCCACTTCTCATCCCTCACAAGTAACCTCTTGAACTCAGTTTGAGTACATGCTTGAGTTTGCATCACAAAAAGGTTTTAATTCTCCAGTCTGAATTTCACATGAAATTACTATTCCAATCAGTTGCCATATAATTGATATTATATAAAAGTTTAAAAACAGGAAAACTTTCGCTTATTTTGTTTCATATGTGTGTATCTATATATGTATATACACACATATATGTGTAAAGACTAGTATTTAGTACAACAAAAGTAAAATTAAATCCGTTATTTCAACTTAGAAATTGTGGAAACAATGGTTCTGTACTGTATTATAATAAAAGAGCTAGCACTAGTAATTTCATTAAGCTCTGTTTACAGTTAACTGGTGATTATATAATTCATTAATATAAATGAGCAATAATTTTAAGACAGTGTGAATTGCAATAAATTTTAAGATGTCCTTCCTGATAGGGATGAGAAACTTAGACGATGAATGATCAGGTGGTGATTTAAGATTACCCTGAAATAGCAGTTTCAAGTTGGGCTTTTGTTGTTGTTGTTACTTCTTCTTGTTACAGTTTTAGTTTCCTCTTCTGTGGAATAGGGATGATCACGGCATCCACTTTTGACAGTATTCTTACGGGAGTTAAATAAGGTAGGGCCCGCTGCATTTCTGTTGCGTGCCTGGCACAGGAGCGCTTAACACATCGGAGCTCCTGGGAGGAGCGCCTGGTGGGGAGGGAGGGGCACCTGGCGGGGAGGGAGGGGGGCAGGAGCAAAGGGGCCCAAGCGCAGGGGCGGGTGGGGCTAGAAACCGCGGGGCTCACACGCCGCCCAGAGGCTGTATCTCATTGGCACCACTGACTTGAGTTCTGTCGGATTAATACTGCCACATTTCAGTCAGCCCTTTTTAAATTATGGGCTGCCAGGCCACTGATGTGGCAGTTATAGGACTTCTATTTGAAATTTCTCCAGAATTCTGCATTTCTTAGTGGCTTATCCAATGATTTTAAAGTTAGCATATTAAAATTCAGGCTTCTTCTACATATCTGGTGGCTATGGTTACTTAGTTAAGCTTGTCAAAAAGTCTTTTAACTCTCCTACTGATGAGTTTAATCGATGGTTTCTTTTGTATGACTTTAGTTCAGTAAATGTATTTTCAGCTTTTGTACCTAACACATACCATGGAAGGTAATTTGCTTTGGAAACTATATTTTTTAAATGATTTCTCAACTCCTGAAAAAGTAAAGCTTCACGGTGTATTGAAAGGTCATGAGATAGCCCATTTGAGAACTGCCGTGATCAAATCTTCACTTGGAAAATATATTCAAGAATTTCCAAAATGGGTTTGAAGTGATGTATTGCTTACAGGTAATCCATAAGGTATTTTTCAGCATTTTGAAGCACCAGATTTTTATTATAACATTATTCTGTCAAAAAGCGTGAGACAGTAAAAAGAAAAAATCATCAAGAAAATAATGTGATCTTTTCTTGAAAAGATAGATGAGCATTTTGCCTTACTACCTTCAACTAATTGTACTGGTATTTTTAGAATACTTGATACTTTTTCACCTTATCCTGGAACGTGGTAGTTGGAAACCTGTTTTACCAGGTCAGTTTTCCTTCTTCAGTAGGTGCGTTTGTACACTTGGATTGCTCTGGGAGTTTCTTCGGTGGTGGCCTAGAGAAGAACCTCTGGTCTTAAGAATAATTGAAGGGAGGACGTTAGCTCCTATTCCCGAAGGAGATCTTTACTGAGTTCCCACTGTGTGTTCTCTCATGGCTGGGGGTGGGGGAGAGAAGGGTGGGGAATAGAGGGACAGTAAAGCATGACGACTGCCTTTGCCAGCGCCACCAATTCCCAGCGCCATTTTCAAGGTCAAAGTCTTGTCCCCTCTCTCTATAAAAGTACTGGAATCCAGTGAAATGGAATTATCATCTAGTTACAAAATAAATTCTGAATTTGACAATGAGTGTATTGGGTTGGCCAAAAGTGCCTTCAGTTTTTAAGTAAAAGTAAAAGACACATTTTTCATTTTCACCAAGAACTTTATTGAACAACGTATTCACCCTTCTGTTCCACTACCTTCTGCCATTTTTCAGGCAACTTCATAATTCCATCTTCCCAAAACTTTTTATCTTTTTGAGCAAAGAACTGTTCCAGATGCCTTTTACAGTCTTCCAGGGAAATTGATTTTTTCCATTGAGAGAATTTTGTAAAGACCGAAATAAATGGAAATCCGAAGGTTCAATGTCTGGTGAATACAGTGGATGAATCAGAACTTCCTAGCCAAGCTGTAACAGTTTTTGCCTGGTCATCAAAGAGACATGGTCTTGTGTTATCCTGGTGGAAGATTATGCGTTTTCTGTTGACTAATTCTGGACGCTTTTCATCGAGTGCTGCTTTCAGTTGGTCTCATTGGGAGCCGTTGGAATTAACCTTTTGATTTTCCAGAAGGAGCTCATAATAGAGGACTCCCTTCCAATCCCACCATATACACAACATCACCTTCTTTGGATGAAGACCGGCCTTCGATGTGGTTGTTGGTGGTTCATTTCCCTTGCCCCACGCTCTCTTCCGTTCCACATTATTGTACAGTATCCACTTTTTATCGCCCATCACAATTTGTTTTAAAAACGGAACATTTTCATTACATTTCAGTAGGGAATGGCACACAGAAATATGGTCAAGAAGGTTTTCTTCCATTAACACGTGGCACCCAAGCGTCAAAGTGATGAACATAAGCACGCTGGTGCAGATGATTTTCAGCGCTTGCTTTGGATATTTTGAGTATGTCGGCTGTCTCCCGCGTGGTGTAATGTTGGCTGTTCTCAATTAATTTGATTGAGATCTCGATTTGATTGCTGTCAACTTCAACTGGTCCACCCAACCGTGGAGCATCGTCCAGCGAGAAATCTCCAGCATGAAATTTCACAAACCACTTTTTTGACATGTTCAGTCAGTCACAGCACCTTCTCCATACACTGCACAAATCTTTTTTTGTGTTTCAGTTGCGTTTTCACCTTTCTTGAAATAATAAAGCATAATGTGCCGAAAAGGATGCTTTTTTTCTTCCATCTTCAGTATTAAGATGGTTACGCAAAAGTTCACCAATCTTGATGTTTTTTTAAATGCACACTGATGTGACAGCTGTCACAGTACAATCTAACAAAATTGTTTTGAATGAAGTTAAAGACAGCTAAGTGCTACTAGAGCCATCTTGCAGAAGAAACTGAACGAATCTTTTGGCCACTTACATGAGATTTCAGAGAAGTATGTGAGCAAGCCAGTGCACTTTCAGAGCACAGTGAGAACTGCTGATGTGGAGCCTCCTTTTGGTTGTGCTTCTGAGATGCTCTCATCCTCCTGTTTCCTTTTTGTCAATTAAAAAAAATTTATTGAGACCTGTTGAATGTCACATGCTGGAGATGGTGAACAGAAGAGAAACAACGTCTGTCTCAGAGAACTTCAGATGAACGAAGAATACCGATAAGGAATCGCCTCTGTACTGGACATCACATGATCATGTCTGCCAGAGGGAAGCGTTGTAGGAGACTGGAGGATGAGGGGACACTTCCTGGAGGAGGCCATGTCAGGATGGGTGGGACCCGCTGGGAGCATGGGTGCTTCCAGCAGAGGAAGCAGCAGGAGCAGAGACCCCTGGAGGCTGGGGCAGAGACTGGAGCGCTGGCACCAGAGGAGTCGCGTGTGGCTAGATGCCTGGTCGCAGGTCAGGGAAGGCGGGGACAGGCAGAGGACCTGTGGTCTGGTTAAGGGGTTTAGACTCTGGCCTTGTGTAATGTGTGTGAACTGTTCAAGCCTCCTAAGTAGGGTTAGGTGCTGATCACCTTTGCATCTGCTATCGTCACAGTCTGTAGAAGAGCAAGACCTGGGCAAGGCGACCCGTGAGGAGTGCTCATCCAGGCGCTGGAGGCTGGTGGGTCCCTGCTGGTGGTCAGTGCAGGGGTGGTGGGCAGCACTTGTAGAGAATTGGAAGGAACACAGGAGCGCCTGGATTTTCTTGCCTCTGCGTTTTTTTCTTCTCCCCCGCCCCCACCTGCCTTTTGCTTCTCCCCCATCTCTCTGTTCTGTCGTCTCTTGCTTCCAGCTGAAGCAAGACGTGTAGACTCTAGTTCTTCATTCCTTGCTCGCATGATGGGGCTTACCCCGCTCATCGACTTTTTAAAAAACCAATGTTACTGAGGTAGAATTTACATACAATACAAGGCAGACAGTTTAAGTTATAGTTCAGTGAGTTTTGGAAAATAAATACTCTATGTAACCACGACCACAGTCGATTGGCACGTAGACCCTTTCCTTCTCTCCAGAAGGTTGCTTTGTGCCCCTGGCCTCCCACCCCTGGCCCAGGTAGCCGCTGATCTGCTCTTTATCACGGTAGATTGTACTTGTCTCTGCTGGAGCTTCATATGAATGGTATCATACCCTGTTTACTCTTTGATGTCTGGGTTCTTTCAGCATGTTTCTGAAATTCACCCCTGATTTCACGTGTACTATGAGACCATCCCTTTTTTACTGGCTGATAGTGGTTTGATTTATGGGTACACCAGTCTGTTCACATTCACCTGTGGATTTGTCCATTGACTTTTCACATGTGTTTCCTACTGACCAAGCATCTCTGTTTTTTCCTAGCTGGAACTTAGTATTAATGCTTTTTTATTTTTGCATTAAAATGCTTTGTTAAATGACTGAGATTTATTGAATAGTCTTATGTTGCTCCTTCTGAATTTTAAAAGTGGCCAAATCAGTTTATCATCCTCTGGAAAGGAGAACAAGCACTTTTACAGGGAATTATGTTGACTTAGTAACACTCGACATATTAAGTGTCCCTATTCCTCTCTTACATTTTTATGTTCAGCTTTTACATGAATTTGGGCAAAAATGGTCTTTATGATACAGGTTATTATCTTAAGTGATTTTATGTGCTTTTTCTAATCTCTTGTTTTCTACATAGCTCTAGCAAGTAAATGTCCAGTGGGATAAACCAGCTTTGAAGCTGTGCTTTAAGGCACAGTTTGTCTTTTTTAATATTTTCTTCTACATGTAATTTCAGTCAGTAGTTACTGAATGGCTAGTTTGCATACTTTTAGCAGAGCTAACAGTGTGCCAGGGGAAAACGCCCCTAAAGATTATGGGCTTGGGTTGTGAGTCAAGAATTGCAGCTGTAACTAACTCAGTAACAAGCAGATTCGAATGAGGACTTGTCATCTCACACTGTTATTTTGACATTGCATAATGACCTTTCTATAATCGCACCTTTTATTTTTAAAGATTCCTCGTAGGCACTGTTGGTATGATAGGGCAATATAGAGATGTCAGTTTTATGGCTCCAAAGATCTACTACGTATTTTGTAAACGTATTTCAGTTTTATTTTGGCAGTAAAGAGGGCAGGAAGATAACGCTTACTTTAAAGTGATGAACCACGCTTGTAGGAATTGGGTAGGAAGATGTGTGAAAAGGCTTTTAGACGAAATTGTCTCCATGTATAAATTGCCTTTGCTGCATCTGTAACTGTCTCATAGTGCTTTGGGGTAATTCAGCCAGGGCAGCCCTGGAGATGGTGTCTGTGTGCACGGAGCTTAAAGAAGGAAGTGTAGGAGTGGCTTCACGATAAGTCTTGTTTGCTGCTCAGCTGTTATGCTCCATTAATCCACTCTTTTTTCTCCCATCCTTCTTTCTGTTTTCTTAAACAGTTGATTAAAACTTGAGCTGACTTTTACTGTTTCAGCTCTGTGTTATTTTCCATTCTTGAAGCAGTTACGGTCAGTAAGAACGAGAACTCGCTCGTGCTCTCCGGCCACTTGGAACGGTGTGTCTTCGCTTCAGAGCATGAGCACCTTGGCAGTAGCGCTGATGGAAAGGGAACCACCAGTGACGCTTAGTTGTTCTTCACGTACTTTGCGGGGGGATGATCTTGTCTGAGTGCATTTTATATTTATGTCATAGTGAAATCCATTTTAAATCGTACACTCTTCTGTAGTAAGTACTTTTACTTATAGAAATTCCACATGGAAGCATTTAGAAAGCAAGACTTTTCTCTTGATGCATTATTTTCATTTAACATACTTCTGACTGCTTCTGTATCTCTGAAATACACGAGTGTGTGTTTCTTTCCTGTGCCTATAATTCTGATTGTCTTCTTTTTGTTTTTTTCTCCTGACTTTCCATCTGCATTCCACAGATTTCCTCCTCTGATGCTCCTCTTCAGCCTTTGGTATCCTCTCCTTCTCTACAAGCTGCTGTTGAGAAGAACAAATTGGAGGTATGGTAGTGTTTTAGCTATAGCCTCATTCCATAGCGCTCGGTGGTAAATGTGCCATCGTTTGGGATGCTGTAATAGTTGTTTATGTCTTGAATGGTCGCCAGTATTAAAAATGTTAAATCCAACAAGAATACTTTTCTATGCCACAGGTAGGATCACAGGGTTTTAATCTGCATTTAATTTCAGAATGACTAATTTATTGTTACCATAGATATATCTCAGCATTTAATAAGCAATTCGTTTTTTGTTGTTTCCATTACCACCTACGCTTAAAGGAGCTTTTCTGTAGTTGCTCTTGAATTCTTTGACTTATTTGGAAGGTTTTTGGTTAAAAATGTTTTCTTTCTGTTATTATAAGCACTTGAAGAAAGTTAATGTCAAGTTTCTTTTTTTAAACAATAGTATCCATCACATAGATAAAACGTAGGAGTGTAGAATCATCAGTGATGATTGTTGGAGTGTGTGTGGGGTAGGGGTGGTTAGGGTGCACGGTACTACCGTTATGGATTTGTAAAGTCATGCCTACCAATATTTGAAGGTTTTTAATTTTTTTGACTGTGTATCTTTTTGTTCTCATCCTGACCTGAGTGAATTAGTTTGAGACGTCCTTTCAACTCACACTGTTTCTGTGTCTCCTCCTTGATAAATGGTGTGCTTGACACGGGGGATGCAAAGGTAAACAAGGTGTGTCTCCCTGCCCTGGAGCAGCTTCCATCTAACAGAGGAAAACGGAGAACTTTACAGAGGTTTCTAGCGCGGCAGAACGTGTGCTGCGATTGCCATGCGCTCACGGTGCTGCTCTGAGCGCAGCAGGCGTCCTTCTGATGCGTCTTACACTCTTCATAAACATTAGCTGTGAGGACTAGGGCACAGTGCAAGCAGAGGAAGCATCTTGTGGAGAAAAGCCCGTGGGCAGAGCTGGGGATTTGCGGGGAGAAGGGCGTGGCTGGGACACGCGTGGGCCGGGGAGAGAAGCGGAGAGGAGGCTTCCTGTGAGCCTGCTGGCGTGTTTGGCCTTCGTCTTGAAGGCCTTGGCACTTCGATGAGTTTCAGGGGCAGAAGGAGTATTCAGGTCATAGCATTCTACTTCACTGTCTCCGGAGAGCCAACTTCGTGCGGATGGGTGCGGAAAGGCTTGAGGACCTGTTGCACTGGTCCATGAATAAATGGTGGGCGGGGTGCTAAAGTGGAGACGGAGTGAAATGGCGAGCGCAGCTGTCAGAGATCTCGAGAAGCTCGAGCCTGTGGGGTTTGTGATCAGTGGGCTGGGGAGGCGCTTTGGGAGCCTGGATGGCTCCTGGCGTCGGGCCCGAGCACCTCAGTAGATGACGGCGCTGCCCAGTGAGAAGGGATCCGGGCTGAGCGGGTATGAGGAGAGAGCAGGGAGGGCGGGACTAAACGCTGGGTGTGTTGCGTGTGAGGTGACGGCGGGACGTCTGGGTATCTGGTCAGGGCTTGGATGCACAGGTCCATAGGCCAGAGGAGAGATCCGGGTCGGAGAAGGGGGGAGGGGGCGGCAGCCCGGGGAGAGCCATGAGAGTGGAAAGCTGGGTGCACTGAAGAGTTAGCAGAGCGAGGGGAGGTCCCCGGGACAGTGGGGGACAGTTTGGAGCAAGAAGGGCATGGTTGGAGGTGAACAGGCTTTAGAGGTCAGAGTGTTGTAGGGGTCAGAGGTCAGCAGGCAGGCCCAGGGAAGAAGCACCGCAGGAGGGCGGAGGTGGCCGCGAGGAGGTGGAAGGATGGCAGCGACACTTGGTCCAGAGGGTGGAAGCCCTCAGTTTCCGTGTCTGTGCTGTGTGGTGCCTGCCGCCAGGTCCTAGAAAGCAGGGGTCTGATCCAGCCGAGCACTCATCATCGTGCCTGATGGCATTTAGACACTGGGGAGCCCCACAGGAGAGTCCACTAGAATGTCTCTTCGTGCTTTCTTTTTCTTACCCTTTTAAAATTTCTATTTTTATGTATGTTTTGTAATGTGTATAATATAGTGCTATATGTGCTCTATAAATATATACGTACATGTGGTAGAGTATATATGCTCCCAACTTTTTAAGAGAAGAGTGCATAAAGAATTTGAGACCGTATCTTTAATTAAATCACTCAAGTGTAGTTTGATTATAATGAACCCAAGATTTACTTCTCTCTGTCTTGTAGGACGTGAACATTCATTCCAGTTTTCTTTTGCAGGAGGTCTCCTGTTTCACTATATCATTTGGATATATAGTAACCAAGTTTCAGGAACTACTGTTTTACAATACCAAACACCACTGTGTTTTATTCTTGATGAGAAAATAGTTTAAAGCAACTTAGCTTCTCACAGTACTCTGATCTTTCAGCAGCTTTTGCTTCTAAAGATGGGGGTCATCTGTCGGTCAAACTGTATGATCTGCGTTTAGAGCCCATTTTTTTTTTTTTTTTTTTTTTTTTTGCGGTACGCGGGCCTCTCACCGCTGTGGCCTCTCCTGTTGCGGAGCACAGGCTCCAGACGCGCAGGCTCAGCGGCCATGGCTCACGGGCCCAGCCGCTCCGTGGCATGTGGGATCTTCCTGGACCGGGGCACGAACCCGTGTCCCTTGCATCGGCAGGCGGACTCTCAACCACTGTGCCACCAGGGAAGCCCTAGAGCCCATGTTTTTACTTCAAAGCCTGTGTTCTAAAACCGCTGCTGGCATCAGTAGATTACAGCCATATTTTGACAGCTGAAATTCCAGTGTTCAAGAGCATCTCCCTCTGTTAAACATAGCTAACTAATTTATTTTATTGTTGCTGATTTCAGATGTGCCCACCAATCATAGCGATTAGAAAGACTGGCTTCTCCCCCATCTCATGACGGTGACTTCCTTGAGAAATAACTGAGAGCTCTGAGCAGTTACAGAACCGTTCATCCCCAGCATAGTAGTGAGAATGATCAACCACATTGCCTTCCTCCCTAAACTTGACTAATATCTGGAAAGCATTTTGCAATATATGAAGGATTTTTGCACATCTTGTTTATTCTTCACTTACACAGTGGCAGTGATACTGCTTACCTCATATGGTTGTTGTGAGGATTTAAATGGGTCACATGATGTCTGGCACATGGGAAGGGCCCAGTAAGCGTTAGCTGTCCCCATGGGGAAGAAAAACTGCATAGACGGCAGCCCTCTGCTGGGCGGCAGGAAGCACTGACGCTCGACAGTCTGGGCCCTGCAGCCCCTGGGCCCTACTACGATTAGCTCTGTGTGTTACTTTCCTGAGATTTTGTTTCTCCATTTGTAAAATGACAATAATGACTTTTTCCCCAGACATCACTGTAAAAATTAAGTTAGACAATAAGGTGCTTATCACAGTGCCTGGCCCATAGGACCTTTAATTATATCTCTTACATTATGGCCTAGGAATTGCCGGTGTTGGCTTTCTTGATTTACAAATAGCAAAAATTCTACTCTTGAGAGAGGTGGTGTCAAACACCCTTTTAAAGGCACAGGTGCAAATGCGACCTCTAGGCATTTTGACTAAGTTCCATGTGTTTATTATTCTGCCTTTTCTAGGTTCACCAGTTTATCTTTCATGTTTGCTGCCAGGAAACTAGGTCGGCACTCAGTTGCAGTATCACCCAGTTCTAGGTTTCTAGGCATCTTTTCCCTCTACATGCCTTATGAATGCTCTTTGTTTAATCTTTGCTTCATTTTCCTTTTTTTAGCATCTTTATGGACCTTAAGTTTTTATTATTATATCCTATTTCAACCTTCTTGGAAACTGTGAACATTATAATACCATTATAGTTTATCTAGACTGGGTTGGATTAAATATGCCAACTAGTCAGCTGGCTCTGGTCCCCAAGCACTATCTCCAACATTCTTTTCGTGAGAAAATTATTGTATTTGCACTTTTAAAAATCACAACGCTGTGGTAACAGACTGAAAATGTTTTGTGTTATTTTAAAAAATTAAACTGTTTTTACCCTTTTCTCCTCATGTTTACATGTTGTAATTGGTCTTCATCTGTGTGATAAAGAATTCTGTTCCATCAGTTAGTTTGCTTTTTCTTTGTATTCAAATTTCAACTTTATGGTTGCTGTTAGAAAGCCTGACCTTATGTAAAGATGCAGTGAGAATTTATTGAATAGAGGTCTCATTTCTTTAAAAACAAACTCTAAAATTTCAAAGAAGTTCTAAATTGTCTCACTTCTGTATTTCTTTTTTAGAAAAGTTATTCTTTATTGTGTTATCAACATACTCAATGAGAGTATGAATTTGCTGTGCTTACTTTTACATCTCAGTATCACTGGATATTGTCATGATTGAATATTTGTACCCTTTTCAAATGATGACTCAAAGTAATAAAATAAAAATGTGTTAAGAGCTAACATTTTTTAAAAAGTAAACTTATCAAAACTTTCGGCTGTGTTTTAGAAAGAAAAAGAAAAAAAAAAGGAAGAGAAAAAGAGAGAAAAGGAGCCAGAAAAGCCCGCAAAACCTCTTACAACTGAAAAGGTAAAATTTCTTCTTCTTTTTTTTAATCTACAAAGATTACGACCTTATTTGTATAGTTATATATGAATGACTTTTGGGATATTCATGATATGCAAATAATCATTCTTTCAACAAGTATTTGTGGCATGAATACTGTGTGCTAAGCATGTCCGTCTGGCTTGTCCTGTATGATTTGTAATCGGCTACATATGTGTGGGTATAGATTCATGTGAGTTCCTCAAGGGCAAGTATTATTCCTGACTTAAAGAAGTGGTGGTTTTAGCTTCATGCACGATCAGACTTCAGCGAAAGTTGAGAGGATGCGGAGACATACCTGCAGGGGCCTTCAGAAAAGACTCCATGCTGAAGGTAGCACTTGAGCTGGGTTTTGAAGTGTAGGTAGGAAGGATTAAAGTGTGAGGCAGGAGTGTATCCTGTGGAGAGAACGTTGAGGACATGGAAACTGGAAATAGACAAAGTATGTTTTAGAAAAATAAATGAGTAGTGGAGTTTGAAGAAAGATCTATGTCTGTGTATAGAAAGTAATGAAAAATAAGACCAGAATGGTAGATTGAGCTCAAATTGTAGGGGACCTTAAGGTCCAGATTGATTCTTTTTTGAAGGAAAGGCTGTGGGCAGCATTTAATTCAGAAGGGTTCTACTGGAAGATTAGTTTGCAGTGATAAGCAGGATAGAAGTGATCAGACCTACTAGAGGTAGAGAGAACATTAGATTTCTGTCAAGCGCTTGGTTAAATAATCATGGTGGCTTGGCTTGAATGCATTTCCTCGTACAAGAATGGAAGCACAGTAAGGGACTTGTCAGTAAAGGGAGCATCCTTACTTTAACTGTTGAAATTTTAATAATCAACTTTATGGAGGCATCAGTTATATACTACAAAGTGCATCCATTTAAAGTGTGCGAGTCAGTATTTACTGGTTCTTTTCCCATCATGTTTATTAGAACAGTCTCTACCTTCAGAGAGTTATAAACATGCCTTCTGCATTTAAGATGTGCTAAGTATCCCAAGGCTCCTTAGTCCTTTATGTAGCAACCAAACACGTCCACCATCTGCCCCTTGATCCCCCTCCTAGCAGTCGCCCCCCGTCCTTCATACCGGGCAGACTTGCGTCTTTCCCCCTGAGCACACTAGCCATCCCTCTGGGCACTGAGCTGCCTGGCCAAGGATGTCCTTTGCTCTCCGCACCTCTTATCTAGGTTTACTCGTTCCTCCTCGTCCATCCAGCCCCTCTGACGCCCCAACCTCATAGGCTCTCTCCCTTCCTCAAAGTTCTGGTGACATTGTCCTACATTTGACTTTATTACTTCCTGCCTCATATTATTGTTTAATTGTATTGTTAGATAAATTTCTTTGTCTAACACAGATGCATCCATATTTATGTTCTGTTTCCTGAGATTAGGTGTCAATCAGGTGGGGACTAACAAGTCTTAGGTTTCTTTGTATTTCTGACAGTTTCTTGTGTGTATCAGATGTTTAGGATAAATACATGTACATTGATTAGTTGATGTTTTCCATCTCATAATTCCTGTTAATGTTTTGATCCCAAGGTCATGCAGAACAATAAACTGCAATTGATTTCTGAATAATTTGTTAAATACTGAAGACTTGCTAAGTGGAACTCTTTGAGATATTTTTTGAAGTACTTTTAAGTTAAAGTTAGTTTTTTTGACTATCACTAATTGTTTTAACGATTGTTTACTGAATTAGATTCTTACCTTTCACCAAATTAAATTTAGATGTTAAGTATTATAAAACTTTTTAAAAGGAGTGATTAAGTTGGTAATTATAGCCTGATTACTTAAATAGCTTTAATTCTGCTCTGGAAACTTTCTCTTCAGCATGCATCAGTAAGAAGCTGTAAGTGAAATCTCTTACAATTTCCTATTTGATTACAAAGGAACTTAAAAATCACTAGTAGGTTTTATCTTTTATTTCCAAAAGTTGGAAGTATCAGAGTTTATATAATGCCTTATTGTTGTACTTGGCAAGATGTAAAATTTAACCACTTTTAAAACAAAATATATTTATTTTTTCTCTTAAAAAATATTTACCATCCAAATATAGTGAGCATTTGATGTAGTGACCATGTGTGTTTCATGGTCTTGCATGTAAACACTTGCTTTCTGTTGCCTGCTGTGGAGAGGGGCCGCCAGGGTTACCTGGGAACAGTCTCTGGATTGGGAGCTTGAGAAGAGCAGTTCAGGGCGTGTGAACAGCGAGGAATCCAGCACTATTCCGTTACCATTTCTCTTTGGTACTTAGGTTTTTTGTGTTTTTTTTTGTTTTGTTTTGTTTTAAATAAATTTATTTGGTTGCACCGGGTCTTAGTTGTGGCAGGTGGGCTCCTTAGTTGCAGTACACGGGCTCAGTTGTTCCGCCGCATGTGGGATCTTCCTAGACCAGGGATTGAACTCATGTTCCCTGCATTGGCAGGCGGATTCTTTATCCACTGCGCCACCACGGAAGTCCGGTACTTAGGCTTTAAATAAACCCAGTTCACACTTCATCTGTTATTCTTGCTCACCCTGCAGAGGTCAGGACTCCTGTTGCCAATGGTGGGAACCTTGCGGAAGGAATAATCACCCAGAGGGAAAAGCTTTAGTTCCTGTCAGATTTTCGTGGTCAGGATATTGTAGGTTATGTAAGGAGGAAGATACATTTACAAGCGTAACAGTGGGGAGACTGAAAGAACAATAGCACAAGCAAGCTTTACTTCATTCACATTAGGCGTTTTTCTTTGTGTTCTCCCTGAGCTGATGTTTTCAGGGGGCATGTATAATCTAGAGGAGAAATTAGCAGTAATAGCAGTGAAAATCATAGCAATAGTAATCAGAATATCATTCTCATAAGTAGGTAAGAGTTGGCTTCTTTGGCTGTCTGGTATCTGCCAGGAGCTGGGCTGGTGTACAGCTTGCATGCACACTTGTGCATGTACACTTACACGTGAAGTGACCAGCCATGTATTCAACACCTAGTCAGGAAACAGAACATGGCTGCTGCCCAGAAGCTGCCCTCCCCAGCTCTTCCCAATTAAATCACTTCTCTTCTCCCAGAGATAATCATTTCCTTGTATTTTAGAAATAGATTTACCTTCTCTGTGTGTTTCTAAATAATAGAAATATTACTTAGGAAATACTGTTTTTCTCTGTTTTTTGAACATACAAATGAAATGATGCCACAAATATTCTTTTGTGTTTTGCTTTTTTCAGTCAACATTGTTTTTGTAAGGGTTAATCATGTTCTGTATAGATACAGTTTACTCAGTTAATTGTTGTGTAGTATTCCATTATTTATATGTTCCTTACTTTATGCATCCCATCGTTGATAAACACTTGGATTATATCCAGGCTTTAGCTGTTATAAATAGTGCTGCTTTGAACACTTTTGTACATGCACCTAAGTATGTATTTCTTTAGGATGTACTTAGGAGTGGACTTGTTGGGTCACAAAGTATCTGTATCTTGAACTTCACAACATAACGTCAAACTATTTTCCAATGTGTATACCAAATGTATTCTGGTCACGCTACATTCTTTACAACATTTGGTATTGTCAGAGGCATTATTACTTGCAGTCTGATGGGTATATAAGGATATCTCATTGTATTTTACATGTCCATTTCTTATATTACTAATGAGGCCCAGTGCCCGTGTCATATGTTTATTGCCCATTTGGAATCCCCCTTTTGGAGTTCTGACTCAGATCTCTTGCCTATTGTTAAATTGGATGGCTTACCTTTCCCTTTTTGATTTGTAACAATCTACACACACACTTACACACATATATAGAGGAAACTAGTCCTTTTCCAGTTACGGGTTTGCAAATATCTTATCTCTGTGGTTAATTTTATTGCTCTTTTTATTTCTGGTTTGTGAATCGGTGATCGAGGGCATCCTTGTCTTATTCCTGACGTCAGAGGGAAAGCTGTTTGTGTTATCTTCATTCCTTACAAAAACTACAGTTATTGTTTAGTTAGAGAATTTATGGAGTCTGGTTTGGAAAAATAGATTTTATTTCTTTTTTAAAGGCTAAACTCCATCTCGTGTCTCTTTATGTGTTTAAAAGAATGATGCTTGATAGGTGTTATTTTTTCCCAGGACACTTGTTCTGAGTCCACTTGCAATTAAAGCCATTAGTATGGTTCTTGGCACATAGCAGTGAGTTAATAAATGATTACTTACAAGTATGTTAATTGGGGGGTTGGAAGGAACCTTACCTCTCTTATTTTATAAAAAAATTAACTAAACCCTAGAAGGACTCTTGAGTCACTGAAAAGTGACTTGCTCAGTGCTAACAGTTGGTGACAGCTCAGGGGTTTGAACCCATGTCTTCTTCTGATTTAAGTCCCGCGTTGTGTGTATGTGTGTTTTGATTTGACATATATGTCTTCAGTTTCCTTTCTTGATGCAATTTTTAGTCCTTTTGTACATTCTACATCATTTTATAATGAACAGTCCAAAGCTCTCTAAAAAAGAACAGTGTGTTTATATACAACGCTATCCCATACTGTCCTAACTAGTGAATTCATAATTTTTACTGATTTGTTAAGCGTCCGGTAGGGACTTCTTCATTCTGTAAATACACTTGTTTTCCCTGAGCAGTCTACCACTTTGCTTAAATTATATTTTGTACCTAGGTCTCCCTAAGGTTTACGTTTTGTGTTGTGTGAGCATCTGTTGCCAGTGGGGTTAGCTGAAACCAGGCTTACTTTCTTTTCTGAGAGGAGAAAGGTAAAACCTAAAAATTTAATGAATCAAGTGATTAATAGGACAGATGCTTTTGACACTTAAATAGATGTCTCTCTGCTGTGCTTTAGATATTCTGCTGGAAAATTGTGTATAAATTTGACTTTTTCTAAAATATTCTGTCATACGTTTGACATTTCTAATTCACTTAGTTTGGATTTATCTACTAGGCTATCTCCCAAGTAGCCAGTGATCTATAAATATGTTTATGTAGATGAGAAGTACTCTACTAAAGGAATGTACATGAATTCTCT